ATGGCATCTTTCTTCAGCAAAAATGATTTATAACATTTATTTATAAAACATAAAATGTGCTATTACTTTTGCACAGGCCACATTTTGTTTTTTTTTCCAAATTGTTAAATTCAGCAAATAAACTGCACTTGTGCATTAAAAGTGTGTTCTCTGTAGAAGATTAAGTGTTGACTTATTTTCATTTAGAAAATCAGCAAAACATGTAATTTGACACCCAAACTTTTGCACATGACTGTATGTTGCTAAAGCTGAACTATGTAAGTTTTGGGGTTTTGGGGGGCTCTCTGGGGCGGAGGAATATTTAGCAACATCGGTTGGACCCCTTCCCAGAGTGGATGAATCTGATAATTGTGAACTCAGTCAAAACTACTACTGTCGTCATATCTTCATAAGTTTAATGTTCATCTTTCGTTTGAGACCTAAACATTGAGCTGGACTGTCCTTTTGAGCTGGTGTGTGTGACATTAATATGTAAAGATGTACAATGTGGTCCAAAAAACTCCAACAAAATCCAACCCGATGACTTTTTCTGTCTCAGTAATCCTACTTCTTTCAATTTTAACTGAAAAACTTACATCAGCTTTAAATGTACAGCAACCGTGAGCCCATATGCAAAGCTTTTGGACCAGCCCCCTTATTCTGGGTTAGTGGGTTTTAAACCGGCCAATTATCCATTGTTAACCTACAAACACACATCCAAAAAACTTGGAAAAAGACTGTGAAATGCAAATAAAAACAGATACATATTTTACCTAATCAACATCATTGTTTTCTGTAAATACACACTTATTCTGAATTTGATGCGTACAGCACGTTCCAAAAAAGTTGGGCAAAGCGTTCTTCTAGGAGCGTTCACAAGGAGTTTAGGTATTTTACCCTCCACAGTGCATAATACTGTGGTGTCCACCACGGCTGCGCTGCCCTGGGGAGCTTATGGGAGCAAAGTGGCTCCTGGGAGGTGCCACACTCCTGTCTAATAATGGACTGTTGTAGTTGTAGTTGTCGTTGATGTTGTTGTTGTTGTTGTTGTTGTTGTAGTAGCTACTAGTGAAATAGTTGTTGTTTGCTAAATTGTGTCCATGGAGGGTAGGATTGGTGTATGAGTTTGTCCACCCTTCTGTTCTCCCATGTTATCCCCTCCCTGGTCCTGTGCTGGGGTAGCACGTCGTTCTGCTGTTCAGAATAAAAGAGCATTTACCTATATGTGCTGTGTTGTCCACGTCTTCTGCGCCAACGCTACAATACCATCAAAAGATTCAGAGAATCTGGAGAAATATCTGTGCGTAAAGGCCAAGGCCAAAAACCACAAATCAATACCTGTGGCACTGCCTTAAATACCAGCATGTTTCTGTGATAGATATCTTGGCATGGGTCCAGGAATACTTTGACTAATCTTTGTCATTAAACCCTGTTAATCAGTGCACCCACAAATTCAATTGCACTATGTACAGAGGAAGTGCTTTTAAAATGTTAAACATGTTCCTGTCAACTTATTTGGATCGTGTTGCAGGCATCATGTTTGGAATGACAAATACATGATAAAGCTCATAAGGTAAAACATCAAATACTGTGTTTTTGTGCTGTTGTTGCAATGAGTACAGGTCAAACAGAATGTACTAATCACTACTTTCTGTTTTACTGACTTCTCACATACTGTCCCAACTTTCTTGGAATTGGGGTAGGAAGCAAATGCATACCCTGCATACCTAGATGCTACACCAAAGGTAAGACTAGCATTGGATTCTTTCCAGTCATATCATGATCATGCTCAATTTTTACACACTGATTGTTAGATTCTTACATCTCTGCAGTCATGAGAAGCTACAGGTCAGATTCACTGTCCCACAATGACGTTTATTCTCAACACTGTTTCAAATTTCGTCCAGGGCTTCTTCCTCTCTTCGTGATTGCCATTGTAAGGAAGACAGTGGCCATAACCTGATAACAAACTTTAAATCTAGTTTTCCCTTCAAGACTTTAAAGGAGATAAATGCACAAGGTTTGTGTCACGTCGAAACTCTTCCCCCCTCAGGTCAGAATGAAAGCCCAGAGACTGTTAGTTCCTCTATGTGTCAAGCTTAATTTAATAAGCCCACAGAGAAAATAGGAGAGGAAGAGGGGAGAGAGGAAGATACAGAGAGGGAGAGGAAGACTGGAGTGCAGATGGATGGGCTGTTTTGCTCAGTATTGGCTCTCTTGGGCACACACACGTACACACACACACACACACACACACACACAC